ATATATATATATATTCAAAATAATTTATTATACGCTACTTAGAAGCTCAAGTAACTTGAGTCGAAAAGAATAAAGTTTTCTACCTGAAGGAACAAAAAGAATGACTAACCTGCAATTTGAACTTTGAACTTGCTCCTATGAAGGAGAATGTAGTTCTCTTTGTATTTGTAAAAAAAAAAGAAAATGAATATTTGTTGTCCAAGAACTTTAGCCCCTTATACTTGATGCATCAGGATGGAAGATTATGTATGGAGTAATGGAGGGATTAGAGTTGTCTATTATTGTGTGTTGTGACTTGTTTATATTGCTATATTCTCCATCTGCAACCAGAGGCGGATCCAGGATTTAAACTCTATGAGTTCAACTTTTAAGATTTTTAACATTGCATTATATTTTTAAAGTTATGGGTTCAAATATATTATTTTTGTAATTTTAATGAATTTTTACACATAAATTTCTACTCTGCGTCGAAAGTTATGGGTTCAGATCCCATAACTAACACACTACATCCGCCTCTGTCTGCAACATGCATGCATGTGTTGTGTTTCTCCCCTTTGTGCATCGGTATTTTAAGGAGATGGAGATTGTTCCCTGTGAATAGATGTTAAGCCATACTTGTGTCCAGGAAAATTAGATTAAACTTTTCCTCGAGGTCTATCTAATGTTACATATCACACAAGATGTCAATAAAATGATTTTTGACATATCGTGGCTAAACTTGACTTGAAAATTATTTTGGGGATTATGAAAGTGAGTCTTGTTGTCCCTAATCTCGACGCGCTTGTGAGCTGGCCAGCTTTCTCTCTAATGATTAGTTTATTTGCTATGTGTCGAAGGACACATATTTGATATGCTTTCGGCTTCCTTTCCCTAATCAAAGGTTAGAAGTACAACGGAAGAAACATGAGTTGCCAGAACACCTAGGACATCAGATACCTAGCAAGTTTATTAGTTAAATGCTGGAAGAAGGACATGATATTCTATCTTCTAGCACATCAGAGTTATTCAGTTTCTAACCTATTTATCTTTCCTTTTTGCTCTTTCCTATCTGGTAAATGGATATGTTTTGGTTTATTCGTTTTCAGACGTCTACATATTTTATTTCCATGCTCCCTCTGTACAATGCATGTCCATCAGTCATGTTGGATTAATGTAATTGTTAATATGTTCAAATTGATGTCCCTCCTCAAGTTGCAAAACACGACTCAGAAGTAAGGAAGCTTCACATCATGGTCTCGTATGCCCTGGGTGAAAGAGAAGCCTCGAGGTACTTCTACACTCAGGATTGAATACCCTCAGTCTAGGAGAGCCTCTGCTTAGCAAATTCATCTCCTTTTTTATTTTCTGGAGAGAATCATGATGGGTTGAAGATCAAGTAACAAGTTGGCAAAAGGAAGGAGTTCCCTGGGTGGCATGCCAAGCAGTTCAATCCCATATTTTAGACTATGTACTTTAGAAGATCTAATATCATGATCTAAACATTCGATAAAAAGTACAGATTTGCTAAACTATCCAGTGTAATGCATCTATAGTTTATCTGTGGATTAAGGTACTGATAGTTTACCCAAAAAATGCACCTGTGGACAGAACTTCTATTGTGTGAACAGACTTTTACTGCTAACCTGTTGCTACTCTACTGAATTCTGTATAATTGCATGACCTTTTATTGACATCTGATCATTTTGACTTCATTTGGAAGTAACCAGTTCCTCCTCATTGTCAGCTTGGTTGTGGTTTTCCACCAGCCACATGGATCTTAATGATCTGAACAAGGTCTGGGAAGTCAAACCTTTGAAGAAGGTGCGTGATGATGAGGCAAGAGAAATTCTTGAAAAGGTAGCGAAGCAAGTGCAACCTATAATGCGCCAACGGAAATGGAAAGTCAAGTTGCTCTCTGAATTTTGGTACTCTCCGTTCTTTCCTTTCAGCCTTTTTATCTCCCTATGAGTCTTAACTTTAGCGAACTTTCCTTCTTTATATTTTTATCTCTTATTGTTGTTCATGAGCTAATCAGCTAATCTAATTTCACAGTCCTGCCAATCCATCACTTTTAGGACTCAACATAGGAGGAGGTGCAGAGGTTAAGCTTAGATTGCGGCGACCAAACAATGAGTTGGACTTCTTCCCTTATACTCAAATTCTTCACACCATGCTTCATGAACTCTGCCACAATGAATATGGCCCACATAATGCTGATTTTTATAACCTATTGGACGAAATCAGGAAGGTTGTGTACGTGCATGAGATACTTTTTCACTTAGTTTGGGCCACTTCTTTCATTCTTTTTGTTTCTCCGTGTTCTTACAACTTGCATCTCTAACTATTAGCCTGAATAAGGCCTGTTTGCGTTGCTCCTCCTGATAGTATTGTTTTCCTCTGGCAATACTAGTTCCTCCTTAGAGACACTATAACTGAGTCGTGCTGGGGATGCACCCGCCTCACACTGTACTTGACAATTGTTTTTAACATTTGTATTTTTAAGCACTTGCACATTATGGCTAAACTTTCCTTCTTTCTTTTGCCAATTTCAACTCTTCTTGTTTCCTTTTTCAGGAATGTGAAGAGCTTATGGTTAAAGGAATTACAGGTACTGGACAAGGATTTGATCTCCCCGGAAAGCGATTGGGTGGGTTTTCTCGACAACCTCCATTGTCATCATTGCGGCAGAAAGCACTGGCTGCTGCAGAAAATAGATCACGAGTTGGAGCACTTTTGCCATCGGGGCCTAAGCGTCTGGGGGGTGATAGTAGCATTAAGGCTGCACTCACCCCAATTCAGGCTGCCGCTATGGCTGCAAAAAGGAGGTTACACGATGATCTGTGGTGCGGCTCCAAAATGGTAGAGAGCGAGGGACCTTCTGAAAGCTCTAAAACTTCAGTAGGACCAAAGCCTGATCATATTTCAGTTCTAGGAACCGATCCTCAGATAATGTGGGAATGTTGTACGTGTACTTTATTGAATCAGGTAATGTCTTTTGCTTTGTCCTTGCTCTTTTTATTTCCTATGATATTCCTGTACCACATAGGAGTTGTGTAAGTCCTCTTCGAAACGCAGCTCACTTCAACCTTTTGATCTGACTACATGGCACTGTCCCTTGAAAAACAAAATTATTTGCCCAATCAGATGTCACCTATCAAGATTCTAGATCAGTTTCAGACATCTCAAGATGATGGGGATTGTTATCCGCATATACGTATGTGAGTTTAGAGTCTCCCGTCTGATAATATTCATTTCACTATTGCAGCCGCTAGCGCTTCTATGTGGAGCTTGTGGAACCCCAAAGGATAGAGGAAATGAAGCAAAGGCAGCAAAAGTCTGGTCTTGTAAGTTTTGCACGTTACATAATAACCACGAGGTTGACCGGTGCTTAGCTTGTGGAGAGTGGAGATACTCTTATGGTCCACCTGTTTCAACCACTGGTCCTCATATTGGCACCTAAAACACGAGAAGCGAAGAATTTTAATAAAAATTACAGGCGGACTTTAGTACAGGTCAGACATTATTTATTAAATTATTATTGCAAATGTGTATATGGTGTAATTAAGTGGCCATATTCCCTCCTTATTGCCTATTCTGCTCAAGAAACCATCTGTGACTTTGTTAATGTGATGTTGAGTTGGTAGTCATTTAAGGCGTATAATGAGCTGTGTGCCTGTGTTAGAGAAAAATAATAATTGAAGTAGTTGGTATCAGAACTTGATATGTTTTCAGTTTCAAGTTTTCACTCAATTGCCTGAGTAGAATAATAATTTGCTATGCAAATTAGAAAGTCATTTGTCACGAATTATCAAATTTGCGAAAGTTACCACTTTAATTGTATTAGGTGTTGGAGTACTTTTAAAATGATTACATATAAAGGAAAGGTGCTTAAAGAATAGCTTTTTGTCTGATCGCAACATGTTACCGTGTTGACGCTAGCACTTTTCCATATATGCATTAGAAAATGCAATGTACCATATCTTGATTATTTTGAGATACCAACGTTATACTCTTTCCCCAAAACCTAGTTATCGTATCTCAATTTGTTAAACCCACCGACATCTTTTGCTTGTATCTATGGACTTTGAAGATCCCTTTGTTAAAAATTGTTGACGTTAATTGCCAAATGAAATTGGTAAAGAATTGTTGTTGAAACTTGTGATAACTATACATCACCTGCTCACTACTTATATTTAAATGAAGGACGAAACAGTCGATATCTTTGTGATGATAAGCTGATGCCATTATAGATTTATAGTCTGTATAGGAACTTTTCACCGTGATATTTTCAGTTTTGTTTCTTTATGCAGCAACGAGATTCAGGCATGATTCGCGTGATTGAACTAACAAATATGATATAGTACCAGTTAGTATTCATTCTACATTGTTTATTGAGTAATCTTTTTACGTGACTTAGTACTTCAAAAGTAATTAACCTTTGTACTATAGTATATGCAACAATATAATTTCTTCAAGTGTACATTTAGTTGAATGATTCATCAAATTTAAGAAGTAGACTTAGTGGAGTGTTGGCTTTGTGTTCAAACGAAGTTAAACCAAGGCTGTCATTTTGTTTCAAGGAAGAGATGACTAATTCAAGCGGCCATTTAGATGACTAATTCTAGACTATTCGATATGAAAATGAACGGAAAGAAAGAGAGTTAGGTCAATAGAGACGGACGTTTACTTAGGGGAGTTACTACTATTTCATTTTGGGATATCGATTTCCATTTTCCAGGTCAAGAAATTTTCTAAGTTTCCAATTTTCCGGTATCCGTGTTCACATTAAACAACAAACCACCACTACCCCCAGCCGATTTTTTTTTTCCCTAGGTGATGGTAGTTCTTTTGAATTTAAAAGTATCTAATTAACATATCATATGAATCCCAAGTCAAAAGTTAGAAAATGAATTCCAACGATTCAGAAGCTAATTTAAATTAAATTAATCAAAATCAAACGCCTCAATCTTAACATTATTGATAGTTTTGATTTTGGGTTTAGAGAAGTGGTTTTGCATTTTTAGTTTTCTCAAAAAACAAAATATGTTATTGAAACATATTTGGGGTTTATAAGTTCAACTAAGTGAAATCATTATTTTTAAGTTCAACTAAGTGAAATCATTATTTTTATTGGGGTTTATAAGTTCAACATATTTGGGGTTTATAAGTTCAACTAAGTGAAATCATTATTTTTATTTATTATGATCTGATTTTTGATTTTTAGTCATGTAATAAGATGATTAAAAAGAAAAAGGAAACAAATGAAGATTTGTATCATCATGGTGAAATCAGAAATAAATCACATTTAAGACTGATTTCTTTAGCATTTACCCTGCCCCTAATTACCTGCCCCACCCCCTACTCTCACACACCCAATACATAAACACCTTCTTCTCTTTTTCTTTTCCTCCTTTTTCTCCTCCTCTCTTACCAAGAAATTTCTCTCTCTATTTTTCTATGGATGGCTGCATTTTCCTCTCTCGATTTCCTTCATCTATTTCCACCTTAGAACCTTAAAAATTCCTTCATTTCCCATTTCCTCTTATTTCCTTTCCCTCTCTCTCTCTCTTTATCTAATTTTCTCCTTTTTATTTAGAAGCAAAAAAGAAAAAGACAATCGAATAGCTTTGTCCCANACGATATGTTCGATCACAACGGTGAAATCCAAGTCCTCCTTGAATTCATGGATAAAGGCTCTCTCGAAGGGATCCACATCCCTAAAGAGTCAGCTCTTTCGGATCTAACCCGACAAGTCCTCTCGGGTCTCTATTATCTCCACAGGCGTAAGATTGTGCACAGAGATATCAAGCCCTCGAATTTACTAATCAACTCGAGGCGCGAGGTGAAAATTGCTGACTTTGGGGTGTCGAGAGTGCTGGCACAAACTATGGATCCTTGTAATTCGTCAGTTGGGACAATTGCCTATATGAGTCCAGAGAGAATCAACACAGATCTGAATCATGGACAGTACGATGGGTATGCTGGAGATATATGGAGTCTTGGTGTTAGCATATTGGAGTTTTATTTGGGAAGGTTTCCGTTTTCTGTTGGGAGGTCAGGTGATTGGGCTAGTCTTATGTGCGCCATTTGTATGTCGCAGCCGCCGGAGGCTCCGGCGAATGCTTCTAGAGAGTTCAGGGACTTTATTGCTTGCTGTTTGCAGAGGGATCCTGCACGACGGTGGACGGCGGTGCAGCTGTTGCGTCATCCATTTATTACCCAGAATAGCCCAGCCGCCACCACCACCGGTAATATGATGCCACTTCCTAATCAGGTTCATCAGCCAGCACATCAATTGTTACCTCCACCTCCTCATTTTTCTTCTTAACGTTTTAGGTTTGGAGAAATTTCCCCTTTTTTCTGTTTTACTTAATTTCTGGTTTTATTCTGTGTAATCTTAAATGATGTTACTTTTCTATTAATGGGGATGATGGGTGGTGGTGGTGAAGGGGTGGTTGGATTTTTATTTTTGGAGAAGGAAAAATTGGAGAAATGGGGTCTTGGTTATGATAAACTCGGGTCTTTCCATTTTCAGCTGATCAACAATTGTTGTTTTTACACTCTTTTATTAGGAGAAAGGAAAGTAGAAATTATGGATTGCCCCAAATTAATATTTTGGATATGTTTCTTATTGCAAAAATGAAATCTTTTATCAAGTCATGGACTTATTTAGCTGTAAAGCATTTCACATGTTGAAGACAAGTGACCACCATGAAAAGTGAAAAAAAAAAGTTTTCCAATTCTCTCTTTCCTTTTAAGTGACGCAGTATCCATTTATTTATTTTTGCTTGCACTTGTAGGATGATGTTATACTGGATTTGTGCATCTATTGGTATTGGTTTTGCTAATTTTGGTGAAGAATAAGGCAATCAATTGTCTTTTTTAGGTAGGGGCTAAAGTATGTCTAGACCTTATGATGATTAGTTCAGATCAATGTGGTGACAGATAGATTTAGTTGAATTCTTCGAAAGATCTTGTATGCTAAGTAGGGAAATTTTTTCTTGTCCAAAGAGAAAAACTTGCGTATTCAAAGAGATGGAGAGAGAGAAAACGGTAGCAAGAACTTGGTAAGTGGGGAAAAAATAAAGAGAAGAACATGCCAACACTGAAAAGTGATCTACTAGCACGAAAAAAATATAAAGAATATAAAAAATTTGCTACCAGCAAGAAAGGTGCATCTCTCTAGTACCTACAGACCCCCCCCCTCCCCCCTATTCTTGTTTTTGCCTTGTTATTATGCTGAAGTTAGTACGTACTGAGTAGAGTGATAGAGTGAACTGCTGTAGCAAATTCGAAAAGGATTTGGTGTAATACTACTACTATTAGAAAAAGATAAGTAGGGCATTATCTATCTCTTTGTGGGCTGTTACAGACTAGACTAGCCTGCTTGATTCTGCCCCCTTTTCTATTTTGTTTGTGTGAAGACTTGCTATTTCCGAATAATTTTGTCTGTCACATTATATGCTTGCCTGCTCTGGAGAATCCCTTGTTGATTTGCAGGCTTGGTTAATTTTAGATGCTGATACTTCTGAACTTAACCTTTTTTTAAGGGGGGGGGGGGGGGTTTATACTGTATGGCTGGAAAAGAGATAGGAGTCATTTTAAATATATCCTTAATAAGTAATTATCCTCATCTTTAGTATCATACATTATTGGTAACATTCATATGCTTAATTGTGATCTTTCAACTTTGTTGTACAAGTCTACTGTTCAATGAATTGATACCCATTGTCCAGTTGGAAGATTCTTGTGTTGTGTCTATTATAGAAATTGATGGATGAGGCCCTCCGGGCTTTGGTCTAATTGTAAGAGACGTCATATGGGTTCGAGTTCTGCCACAGACAAATATCTGGTATTTAAAGTGTCTCGTATTAATATTAATATTATTAAGTGAAAATGGGTAATCAGGCGGGTGCCTATTCATCAAGTTTTGAATTTCGCATAAATGGATTTCTCGGTTTTAAAAAACATGATGGATGAGGTCATCACTGAACAATGAAAGACCCATTAAGCAATACGTTAAATAGGTTGACAGTGAAAAAACTTAACACGCGGAGTTTGGTAATCAATTTGTTGATCAATTCCATTTTACGTCGACTGGGCCTCGTTTAAAACAGGAGAAGCTAACGTCAATCCCTGCGCGTTCAGTTGGCTATTATGACCACAATGATACAATCACTCGTTTTCATTTCTGAAAATAAAATAAAAGAATTACTCGTTTTGGAAGAAAATAAGCCATGACTTATCTCTTCTAAAATCTTGTGGAATATTTATTGAAAAAATAAGCCTTCGGCTGCCAGTACAAAAATCATGAATGTGACATTAATTGATATGTAAAGAAGGGAATCGG